ACTGCAACTGAAATCAGATAAAAGTTAAAAACAGGATCTGGAGGCGTAGAAGTCAAAAGTTATTGATAAGTGTTTCAAATGATTGAGTTATAACTAGCAATGTATTAATTTGAATGTGGTATAATAACTAAGGGAAACAGAGAGGAAATTTTTGATGATGTACTAAGTTGACATATATAGAGAAAAGAATTGTTTCTGGACTATGGATTACCCAATCACCCTTTATTTATTTATTTATTTATTTACGAGACTTATATACCACTTTAAGTGCAAGCATTCTCTAAGCAGTGTACACCAGTAAGCAATGTATATATATATATATATATATATATATATATATATATATATATATATATATATATATTATATATATATATATATATATTTACATTGCCCCCAACAATCTGGGTCCTCATTTTACCTACCCCGGAAGGATGGAAGGCTGAGTCAACCTTGAGCCGGTGAGATTTGAACCGCTGACCTGCTGAACACAGTCAGCTAAAGTGGCCTGCAGTACTTGCACTCTAACTGCTGCACCACCTCACCATGTTGCTTCCCTAATACCTGAAGCTTTGTAAAAATGGAAAATTAATAAAACTTGTGTTTTTGTTTTTGTTTTTTTAAAAAAAGAAGTTGTAGGTGCTCCATCACTGGAGGTTTTTAAGAAGAGACTGGTATAGGACAGTGGTTCTCAACCTGTGGGTCGGGACCCCATTTGGAGTCGAACAACCATTTCACGGGGGTCACCAAACAACGCAATCTGCCATTTTTTCCCCCTTTTCCTTAGCTGTGCTACTCCCTTTTATTCTATTGGCTTTTGAAAGAGCCCGCCAAAAGTCCCATTCTGCAAACGGTGCTGCACCCGTTAAGTAGTCCTTGACTTACAACCGGTTGGGGGTCGCGGCATTAAAAAGGTTGAGAACCACTGTTCTAGCACAAAAGAAGTCAATGGTTGATGCCACCAAGAGGCCTTCTGTAATAAATGGAGAACTTCTCCAATGTTTCACAACTGTGGCAATTTTAAGAGGCATGGGCTTCAACTCCCAGAATTCTGCAGTCAGCACGGCTGGCTGGGGAATTCTGGGAGTTGAAGTCCATACCTCTTAAAGTGGCCAAGGTTGAGAAACACTGCCTAATCAATTTTGCTCCATTCCTTTTGGTCAGAGGCTGCTTCTACACACAATATCAAGCCACAAATTTCTTCCTATCCTGCCCTGCTGGCCTCAGATGCAACCCCCTCCCTCCTGTGACAACAAATCTCCAGAAGACAGGCTTAAGATACAGAAGGATCTTGACGAACACTGGGCGCTATCTAACAAAATAAAATTCAATGGTGAAAAAGGTAAGGTTCTACATTTAGGCAAGAAAAACCAAATGCACAGGTATAGTGTAGGGGGAACCTGTCCAATACTAGCAACTGTGAGAGGGATCTTGGAGTCCTAGTGGACAATCACTTAAATATGAGCCAGCTGTGTGCTGCAGCTGCCAAAAAGGCCAACACAGTGCTAGGCTGCATTAACAGAGGGATAGAGTCAAGATCAGGTGAAGTATTAATACCACTTTACAATGCCTTGGTAAGGCCACACTTGGAACATGGCATCCAGTTTTGGTCACCACGATGTAAAAAAGATGTTGAGACTCTAGAAAGACTACAGAGAAGAGCAACAAAGATGACTAGGGGACTGGAAACTAAAACATATAAAGAACAATTGCTGGAATTGGGTAGATGTAGTTTAATGAAAAGAAGGACGAGGGGAGACATGATAGCAGCGTTCCAGTATCTCAGGGGCTGCCCCAAAGAAGAGGGAGTCAAGCTATTCTCCAAAGCGCCTGAAGGCAGGACGAGAAGCAACGGATGGAAGCTCATCAAGGAGAGAAGCAACCTGGAACTAAGGAGAAACTTCCTGACAGTGAGAACAATTAACCAGTGGAATAACCTGCCTCCAGAAGCGGTGAATGCTCCAACACTGGAAGTTTTTAACAAGAGACTGGACAGCCATTTGTCTGAAATGGTATAGGATTACCTGCCTGAGTAAGGGGCTGGACTTGATGACCTCCAAGGTCCCTTCCAACTTTATTATTATTACTATTACTTGTCTGAAATGCTAGAGAGTTTCCTGCCTGAGTAGGGGGCTGGACTTGATGACCTCCAAGGTCCCTTCCAACTCTGTTATTCTAATCTATTCTAACTATTAGCACAAGGAGCAAAGAGTTGGGGGGAGGTCTCTTCTCCCTCCCCCCAGCTCCTGCACATGGCAGAGTCCATCTCCTCCGTTTGGGGAAAGTGGACATCAGGAGTTGAGAACAGGCAAGCAAACAAGTGGCCCATTTTTTCCCCCCTTGAGAGATTCCGATAGGAAACACCAAATATTGACTGGAGCCTCTATGTAGCCAGCTTGAAGACCCAGCCGTCCTCTCTGCTTCCTTTGTGGCATTTGCAAATATTATTCCGGGACAGAGGACACATCAGCAGCAGAAAAGGAAATTTACTAGCAGCTGATTCAGAGCCTGGTTGACATTGCTGATCGCCACGCGGGAGTTGCTTTCAGCCAGACCTAAGTAGCCCCATTGTCCTTTGCATTCCTCTTCGTCTAGGGCAGCGACTCTCAATCTTGAGCCGTGGAAGATGTGTGGACTTCAACTCCCAGAATTCCGAGCAAGCCCCACACTCTCTTCTAGCCCTGTGGATGTTACCTAGTTGGGTAAGGAGACAGCTGCAAGAAAACCAACAAACTCAGAGAGCATCAAGGACACCATCCCCCCCTCCTCCTCCTCCTCTTCCTCCTCCTCCCCTCCTCCTCTTTGCAAACCCCTCTTCCTTCTAGTAGTAGTAGGAGTAGTAGTAGTAGTAGTAATAATAATAATAATAATAATAATAATAATAATAATAATAATAATAATAAAGTTGGAAGGGACCTTGGAGGTCATCAAGTCCAACCCCCTGCTCAGACAGGTAACCCTATACCATTTCGGACAAATGGCTGTCCAGTCTCTTCTTAGAAGCTTCCAGTGTTGGAGCATTTACCGCTTCTGGAGGCAGGTAGTTCCACTGGTTAATTGTTCTCACTGTCAGGAAGTTTCTCTTTAGTTCCAGGTTGCTTCTCGCCTTGATGAGTTTCCACCCGTTGCTTCTTGTCTTGCCTTCAGGCCCTTTGGAGAATAGCTTGACTCCTTCTTCTTTGTGGTAATCTCTCAAATACTGGAACGCTGCTATTCTGTCCCCCCTCGTCCTTCTCCTCATTAGATAAACCATTCCTGCCTTCAGGTGCTTTCAAGAAGAGGTAATAGTAGTAAAGTTGGAAGGGACCTTGGAGGTCATCTAGTCCAACCCCCTGCTCGGGCAGGAAACCCTACACCATTTCGGACAAGTGGCTGTCCAGTCTCTTCTTAAAAACTTCCAGTGTTGGAGCATTTACTGCTTCTGGAGGCAAGCTGTTCCACTGATTAATTGTTCTCACTGTCAGGAAGTTTCTCCTTAGTTCTAGGTTGCTTCTCTCCTTGATGAGTTTCCATCCATTGCTTCTTGTCCTGCCTTCAGGGGCTTTGGAGAATAGCTTGACTCCCTCTTCTTTGGGGCAGCTCCTGAGATATTGGAATACTGCTATCATGTCCCCCCTTGTCCTTCTCTTCGTTAAACTAGACATACCCAATTCTAGCAACCGTTCCTTATATGTATAAAAGAGGGGGGAACCCCCCCTCTTCTTTTTGGTAGCCCCTCAAATATTTGAAGACTGCTATTATATCATATGTCTAGTTTAAAGGAAAAAGGACTGCTATTATATGTCCTCCTGAAGGCAGGATAAGACGCAACGGATGGAAACTAACCAAGGAGAGAAGCAACCTAGAACTAAGGAGAAACTTCCTGACAGTCAGAACAATTAACCAGTGGAACAGCCTGCCTCCAGAAGCAGTAAATGCTCCAACACTGGAAGTTTTTAAGAAGATACTGGACAGCCATTTGTCTGAAATGGGATAGGTTCTCCTGCTTCAGCAGGGGGCTGGACTAGATGACCTCCAAGGTCCCTTCCAGCTCTACTCTATTCTATATCATATGTCTAGTTTAATGAATGATAATAATAATAGTGGTAGTGGTGGTGGTGGTAGTAGTAGTAGTAGTAGTAGTAGTAGTAGTAGTAAAGTTGGAAGGGATCTTGGAGGTCATCTAGTCCAACCCCCTGCTCAGGCAGGAAACCCTCTATCATACGCTCTATCACAGCAGTGGTAGTCCTTCTTTTCATTAAACCAGCCGCACCCAATTCTTAATTCATCCATCAGTCGGGAGTTTCCCAGGCCCCGATAACGATTGATTAATTAATCCATCCATCCATCCTTGGGTTCCAGGCACCCGATCCTTATTCCTCAATGCATTAGGCCAGCGGTTCTCAACCTGTGGGTCGGGACCCCATTTGGGGTCGAACGACCATTTCACGGGGGTCGCCAAACAACGCAGTCCGCCATTTTCCCCCCCCTTTCCCTTAGCGGTGCTCCTCCCTTTTATTCTATTGGCTTTGCAAAGCCAATAGAATAGACTCTCTTGAATAGAGTCTAATTCTATTGGCTTTCCAAAGCCAATCGGAATTGTCCAGGCTGCCTCTGCCCTGCTGAGCCGGCCAAAAGTCCCAGTCTGCAAACGGGGCTGCACCCGTTGAGTAGTCCTCGACTTACGACCGGTTGAGTAGTCCTCGACTTACGACCGGTTGGGGGGGTGTCGCGGCATTAAAAAGGTTGAGAACCACTGCATTAGCCTGTTTCCAGTCTCCGACCAACACGGTGACCGTCCTTTCCTTACTCCAGCAAATCGGTTCGGCCCTTCGCACGTCTCCAGGGGAGCGCAGAGGGAAACTGAGGCCGGGAGGCGGGGTGGGCGGGGTGGGGGGGAAGGGGTCTCCCTGGAGGTCGGCGAAGGGGCGGGAGAGGGAGGGGGACGGCGGGGCGGGGCGAGGCGAGGCTCCTCCTTCCCCCCCCCACCGACCCGCCACCCGTGCCCGCCTTCCCGCACCAGTCCCAACCAGCTGCCATGCAGGCCAGGCGCCGTCCGCTCCCTCGGGCTTCCATGCTGCTGCTGCTGCTGCTATGGCTGGGCACGTGGCCCGACGGCTGCGGGGCGCAGCGGGCGCCGGCTTGGCGGCAGCAGATCCGCTGGGAGAACCGGGGCCGCCGCTACCGCCTCTCCAACAGCGCCGCCCAGTTCTTGCCGCCCCGACGGCCCGCCGCCCCGACGGCCGAGCAGACCCTCTACCTGAGCGCCGACGGGGCGCCCGCGGGAAGGGGCGCCCGGGAAGGCTCGGGAACCGGGACGGCAGTCGGACGAGGCGGCGGCGCTGAGTCCGGGAAGCCCAGCTTCGACGGGGCGTCCGCCTCGCCTCCTTCCCGCCCGGGGACCCGGAGGGGTGGAGGGCGCGACGGACCCTCCCGGGGGGAGCCTCGGAGGCCCTGGCTCTCCCCGAACAGCGTCTACGACCGGCCCGACGTCTCGGCCGGCCCAGCCCGGCGGAGACCGGGCTATGGGACGCTCCGCTTCCACCACGGTGAGGCCGGAGAGGCGCGGCGAGGGGCTTGGGGGGGTGCCGGTGGGCGAGTAGCGGAGGAGGTAGCAGGGTGTCCTGCTTGAGCAGGGGGGGCTGGACTAGAAGACCTCCAAGGTCCCTTCCAGCTTGCTTCTGTTCTAACGGATCTTCGCGCTCTTTCGGAGCAGCCTACCTCGCGGGGTTGTTGCTGCGGGGCTCTAGTCGCAGTGTTTCCCAAACTTGCCAATTTTAAGGCATGAGGACTTCAACTCCCAGAATTCCACAGCCAGCAACGCTGGCTGTGGAATTCTGGGAGTTGAAGTCCCCATGCCTTAAAATTGGCAAGTTTGGGAAACACTGCTCTAGTGGATAGCTCCTGGGGGGGGGGAAAGGGGAGGGGGGAGAGATCGTGGCTGAAATAAAATAAAAACGACAAAGAGATTTAGAGATTCCGGGATTCCCCACTTCCTTTGCAGTGGCTCAGGAGCGTCGCTGACAGGACTTGCCTACGACAATCCTGTTAGGTAGGCCAGGACTAGCTATCTTGTAGCAGGGATGTAGGGAGAGGTAGTGTGGTTTGGATAACTGCGCTTGGACAGGCTGGTCAAGGTAAGATCAGAATGAAGGGTTTGGGTCACCTGAGTTCCAGGTAATTAAACACAGAGCTGGGCTGATCCTATGTCCCGTTCCTGCTATTATCCGGTTAGAGCTTTCTCTTTTTTTTTCTAGCCTGATTTAGCCCACAGGACAGTTTGGTGAAGTGGGGGGGGGGGGAGATTTTTGTGTAAACATGAATTTCTGGAGAAAATGGGGAGGGAGGGAGGGAGGGAAGGAAGGAAGGAAGGAAGGAAGGAAGGAAGGAAGGAAGGAAGGAAGGAAGGAAGGGGAAGTGAGGGAAGGAGAGAGGGAGGAAGGAAGGAAGGAAGGAGAAAGATGGGAAAGGAAAGGTTGACAAGTACATGAATAGAAAGAAGGGAAGAATGACAGATGAAAGAAGGAGAGACAGAAAGAGGAGGGAAGAAGGTTGACGAAAGAAAGGAAGGATGGAAGGAAAAGAGGACTCTAGAAGGGAAGAAGGGAGGGAGAGAGAGAAAGAAAGGTAGGAGAGAGAGAGAGAAAAATGGAATAAAGACAGGAGGGAGGCAAAGAGGGAGGGACACCTTCCACCATTAAGCAACAGATAATTTGTTCTTGCCTCTGTCCAAATCGTCTTTTAAACCAGTGCTTCCCAAATCTGGATAAAATACCCCAAACTGGGCAAAAGTGAGGTTTTGGGGGGGGCGGTAGCAACACACACACACACACACACCCATTCCCCATCACTACGGGGACCTTTAAATGGACTTAAAATGTTTGTACCTACGTTGGATGAAAAAAAGACTTACTGGGAAGCGGTTTTGGATAGGGCAGGAAAAAGTTTGGGAAGCATTGCTTTAAAGCAGGCGTAGACAACTTAGGCTCTTTTATGACTGGTGGACTTCAACTCCCAGAATTCCTGAGCCAGCCATGCTGAGGGGACAGGGAGAGGTTTCCAAGCTGAGCCAGGCTGGCTCAGGAATTCTGGGAGTTGAAGTCCACCAGTCATAAAAGAGCCCAGGTTGCCTACCCTGGGCCTAGGGGATTCTGGGAGTTGAAGTCCCAGATCAGGGGTAGGCAACCTTGGCTCTTTTATGACTCGTGGACTTCAACTCCCAGAATTCCTGAGCCAGCCATGCTGAGGGGAAGGGAGAGGTTTCCAAGCTGAGGCATGCTGGCTTAGGAATTCTGGGAGTTGAAGTCCACGAGTCATGAGGGGGCCATAGTTCCCCCCATGCTGGCTCAGGAATTCTGGGAGTTGAAGTCCACGAGTCATGAGGGGGCCATAGTTCCCCCCCATGCTGGCTCAGGAATTCTGGGAGTTGAAGTCCACGGGTCATAGAAGAGCCAAGAGCTACCCCTGCCATAGATAGATAGGTAGGTAGGTAGGCAGGCAGGCAGGCAGACAGACAGACCCACCCACCCACCCACTGACCGACTGACCAACCAACCGACCTAGATCAGGGGTAGGCAAACTTGGCTCTTTTATGACTTGTGGACTTCAACTCCCAGAATTCCTGAGCCAGCAAGGCTCAGCATGGAAACCTCTCCATTTCGCCTCAGCATGGCTGGCTCAGGAATTCTGGGAGTTGAAGTCCACGAGTCATGGAGGGGCCAAATTTTCCTCCATCCTGGCTCAAGAATTCTGGGAGTTGAAGTCCACGAGTCATGAGGGGGGCATAGTTCCCCCATGCTGGCTCAGGAATTCTGGGAGTTGAAGTCCACGAGTCATGGAGGGGCCAAATTTTCCTCCATCCTGGCTCAAGAATTCTGGGAGTTGAAGTCCACGAGTCATGAGGGGGGCATAGTTCCCCCATGCTGGCTCAGGAATTCTGGGAGTTGAAGTCCACGAGTCATAAAAGAGCCAAGGTTGCCCACCCCTGCTTTAAAGTAAAGCATGTAGGTGCCCACCAGAGGCTCACTGGAAAATACGCCTTCGTTATTTTGGTCTAAATAGAATGGAATGATAGAGTTGAAAGGGATCTTGTAGGTCATCTAGTCTGACCCCCCACCTACCCACCCAAGCAGGAGACCCTACACCATTTCTGACAGATGGCAGTCTAGTCTGTTCTTGATAGCTTCCAGTGATGAAGCTCCCACAACCTCTGAAGGCAATCTGTTCCATTGGTTGGTTGTTCTCACGATCAAGAAAATTCCTTCTTATTTCTAGGTTGAATCTCTCCTTGATCAGTTTCCATCCGTTGTTGCTTGTCTGGCCTTCAGGTTCTTTGGAAAACAGGTTGACCTATTTTATTGGAACACTGCTATCATGTCTCCCCTGGTTCTTCTCTTCACTAGACCAGCTTAGCCCACTTCCTGTAACCATTGTTCATATGTTTTAGCCTCCAGTCCCCTGATCCACTTTGGTCTCAGCCCAGAGAAGACGGTGTCCTGCTTTTATCAATCAGAAGACACCCCTCTCGTAACTTCTGGCGTTCTGTCCTCATTCTGTGCAGGGCTGTCATTCAGGAAGGCAAATATACCCCCTTCGGAGCGGGTTCGCAACTTGGGTGTCCTCCTTGATCCACAGCTGAAATTGGAACATCGTTTGACGGCTGTTGGTGGGAGGACCTTTGCACAAGTTCGCCTGTTGCACCAGTTGCAACCGTACCTGGACCAGGAGGCATTCCTTACAGTCACTCATGCCCTTGTCACCTCATGTCTGGACTACTGCAACGCGCTCTACACATGGGGCTACCCTTGAAAAGTATTCGGAGACTACAGTTGGTCCAGAATGCAGCCGCGCGAGTGATAGCGGATGTTCCTCGGTACACCCACGTTACACCTATCCTCCGTGAGCTGCACTGGTTGCCTATTGATCTCCGGGTCCAATTCAAGGTGTTGGTTATTACCTTTAAAGCCCTATATGGCTCAAGGCCAGGCTATTTGCGAGACCGCCTACTACCTCGTAGTTCCCTTCGTCCGGTTAGATCCCACAGGCTGGGCCTCCTTCAGGCCCCGTCGGCCAAGCAGTGCCATTTGGCGGGGCCACGGAGGAGGGCCTTCTCTGTGATGGTGCCCATGTCTTGGAATCAGATTAGGACCGCTCCCACCCTGTTGGTTTTCCGCAAGCTGCTTAAGACCTGGCTTTTCCGGCAGGCCTGGGGTTTATAAAATCTGACCCCTGGATGACTGTTATTGTACTGTTTGTTTTGTTAATTTATATTGTGTTTTTATTGTTAGCCGCCCGGAGTCCTGCGGGGGGGGGGGGCGGTCTATAAATTTTAATAAATAAATAAATAAAATAAATAAAATATTTCTCTCATTTTGCCGCTTCCGGTCTCTCCTTTTAGGTCTGCCAGACTTGATCCCTGATCCGTATTTTCTACAAGCATCCACCTACATCCAAAAAGTCCAAATGTATGCCTTGGAATGCGCAGCTGAAGAAAACTGCCTAGCAAGGTAGGAAAGAAGCAAAGCTTGCTCAGTTGGAAGTGTGGAGAGACCGTTGGGAATTACTACCACATGTGGTGGCAACGCCCAAAAGGCACAACAATTTTGGAACTTATTAAAGAAATGGCTGGAAGAAATTTTGCTAATAGATAGAGAGGCCAAGCCGGAATTTTTTTTTTATTGGGAATTATAGAAAGAAAATATTATAAGAAAGATACAAGTTATTTACTACTGCATATAGTAACAGCGGCACAAATAGCCTTCGCTCAAAAATGGAAAGAGAAAGATACTCCAACCGAAGAGGAAATATTACTGAAAATTTTCAGTTGCGCTGAAATGGATAGACTTACATGGGAACTCAAGGATAAAAGTGAAACTAAGTACTACAAAATCTGGGAACAATTTTATGATTGGAAAGACAATAAGAGGGTAGCCAAGACAAATGTATAGTATTAGAATAAAATATACTGTAGATTATAGACAAATGTATATTTAAAAGATAAATAGACAGAAATAAGGGAAAAAGTGGGAGTGGCAGATAAAAATTTAACAGTATAGGGAGGGACCTTGGAGGTCTTCTAGTCCAACCCCCAGCTCAGGTGGGAATCCAGGGGTAGGCAACCTTGGCTCTTTTATGACTCGTGGACTTCAACTCCCAGAATTCCTGAGCCAGCATGGCTCAGCTTGGAAACCTCTCCCTTTCCCCTCAGCGTGGCTGGCTGAGGAATTCTGGGAGTTGAAGTCCACGAGTCATGAAGGGGCCATAGTTTCCCCATGCTGGCTCTGGAATTCTGGGAGTTGAAGTCCATGAAAGAGCCAAGGTTGCCTACTCCTGACCTATACCGTTACAGGCAAATGGTTATCCAATCTCTTCTTTAAAGTCTCCAGCGTTGGAGCATTCACAACTTCCAGGAGAAAGTCCACAAAGAAGAGGGAGTCAAGCTATTCTCCAAAGCGCCTGAAGGCAGGACAAGAAGCAATGGATGGAAAGTAACCAAGGAGAGAAGCAATCTAGAACTAAGAAATTTCCTGACAATTAGAACAATTAATCAGTGGAACAACCTTCCTCCAGAAGCGGTAAATGCTGCATCACTAGAAGTTTTTAAGAAGAGACTGGACAGCCATTTGTCCAAAATGGTGTAGGGTTACTGCCTGAGCAGGGGGTTGGACTTGATGACCTCCAAGGTCCCTTCCAACTCTGCTATTCTGTTATTTCACTGGTTCTGGTGCTGATGTTTGCCTGTTGACTAGCAAGAGGCAGTTCATTAAGGGATGTTTGCAAAGCTCATATCCCCAGCCAAGGTCTCTCCTTGCCAGTGACTAAGGAAAATTACGGTCCTAAAGCAGAATCAAGAATATTTTCCCTGCAAAATTTTGGGGTGGAGGAGAAAGGAATGTCCCGTGTTTACTTTTAGCCGGATAGTCTAAAGTGGGCTAGTCTGGTTGCCCCGTTTACAGATTCCAGCTGAGAAAGTGCCAGAATTAGGGCGCAGATGAAAAAAGGGTGGTTTTCTGTAAACACTTCAACAAAGTGGGCTGTGAGGCCGGCCAGGGTGGCATAGAAGGGTCACTCCCGGCTGGCTACTTTTTGCTTGTTTGTTCAGTTGATGAATTGCCTGTTTCTCTTTCTCTGCCATCATCAGCATTCCCTACATACCACTTTTAGAGCGGTGTTTCTCAGCCTTGACAACTTTAAGCTGGTGGACTTTAACTCCCAGAATTCCCCAGCCAGCCAGGCAGCCAGGCACGGCTGGCTGGGGAATGATGGGAGTTGAAGTCCACTTAGCTTAAAGTTGCCAAGATTGAGTAACACTATTTTTAGAGCTTGGGTTTAAATGGGGAAGGAGATCCTTCGGCCTCCTGCGCAGAATTCACATGAGGTGGAAAAATTCTCTTTGCATTTTCTCCGATGGGAGGCTTTGGGTCCGCTCTGCCCAGCAGGTTCTTCATAGTAGAACTGGGGTACTTGGGTCAGGGGTAGGCAACCTTGGCTCTTTTATGACTCGTGGACTTCAACTCCCAGAATTCCTGAGCCAGCATGGGGGAATTATGGCCCCCTCATGACTCGGGGACTTCAACTCCCAGAATTCCTGAGCCAGCATGGGGGAAACTATGGCCCCTTCATACTTGTGGACTTCAACTCCCAGAATTCCTGAGCCAGCATGGGGGAATTATGGCCCCCTCATGACTCGGGGACTTCAACTCCCAGAATTCCTGAGCCAGCATGGGGGAAACTATGGCCCCTTCATACTTGTGGACTTCAACTCCCAGAATTCCTGAGCCAGCATGGGGGAAACTATGGCCCCTTCATACTTGTGGACTTCAACTCCCAGAATTCCTGAGCCAGCATGAGGGAAGCTTTGGCCCCTTCATGACTCATGGACTTCAACTCCCAGAATTCCTGAGCCAGCCTGGCTCAGCTTGGAAACCTCTCCCTTTCCCCTCAGCATGGCTGGCTCAGGAATTCTGGGAATTGAAGTCCACGAGTCATAAAAGGGCCAAGGTTGGCTACCCCTGACTAGCCTAGGTTTGTAAAATGAAGAAAGTTGAAACAGAAGGTGTATCCCTTTTCTGTCTTTTTTAAAAAATATATTTATTGAGGTGTTTACATAAATTTAAAGGAAAAGATAGACAACGGAAAAAAGAGGAGAGGGGAGGGGAAGGAAGGAGAGGAGAGGGAGAAAAAGAAAGAAAAAGGAAAAAGAAAGGAAGGAAAAGGAAGGAAGGAAGGAAGGAAGGAAGGAAGGAAGGAAGGAAGGAAGGAAGGAGAAGGGAAGGAAGGAAAAGAAGGAAGGAAAGGAAGGAAGGAAGGAAAGAAGGAAGGAAGGAAAGAAAAGGAAGGAAAGGAAAAGAAGGAAGGAAGGAAGGAAAAGGAAGGGAGGGAAGGAAGGAAGGAAAAGGAAGGAAGGGATGGAAGGAAGAAAAGGAAGGAAGGAAGGAAAGCAAGGAAGAGAAGGAAGGAAGAAGGAAGGGAAGGAAAGGAAGGAAAGGAAGGAAGGAAGGAAGGAAGGTTACGATACAATGACTTCCAATCTTCTCAACAGATATTTACAAGCCTATCTTCCTTCCTTCCTTTCTTCCTTCCTTCCTTCATCCCTCCTTCCCTCCCTCTCTTCCTTTCTTTTAGGTATGGGTGAACACAAATTGTAGTCTAGACTGGGGGAAGCCAATTTGAATATTTTCTTTCAAAGTACCCAAATATTTGAGGCTCACTGGTTAGAATGCAGTATTGCAGGCTAATTCTGATGATTGCCGGCTGCCGGCAGTTCGATCCTGACCTGCTCAAGGTGGACTCAGCCTTCTGTCCTTCCGAGGTTGGTAAAATGAGGACCCAGATTGTTGGGGGCAAATAGGCTGACTCTGTAAACCACTTAGAGAGGGTTGTAAAGCACTGTGAAGAGGTGTATAGGTCCAAGTGCTGTAGTTATTGCTATTCATTGTAAAATAGAAGAGAAGCAACCACAAGCAGCATCGTTTTTCCAGCAAATGCTTAAAAAAGCCAGCAATTGAATTACACATAGTCCTCGACTTAACGACCACAGTTGGGACCAGAAAAGTTATCACTAACCAGCGTGGCCATTCAGCAAAACATCACAGGGCCGTGACTTGTGACTTTCCCTGTCTGCGTTCCCCCACTGACTTTGCTAGTCAGAAGCCGGCTAGGAAAGTCACAAATAGTGATCACAGGATCCTGGTCACTACAACCGTCGTAAAGGTGAGCCGGTGACCAAGTGCCTGGATCGTGATCGTGTGTGATCATGGGGACGTTCGATGGTCATAAGTGCAAGGACTGGCAATAAGTCAGAACGTCTGCTCAACGAGTGGTTGTAATTTGAGGACTAGCCCTAATACGGGAGGCAGCCCCTCGGTTCCAGCGGGCCTAGTTTTCCATGGCTTTTGTGTCCTCCGTTTCCCGCAGATCCGCTTACCGACCTGGGGTGAGTCAGATCAGCTCCCGCGTCCTGCTTCGCTTCCCCCAAAGAGTGAAGAACCAAGGAACGGCGGACTTTCTCCCGGTGAAGCCGCGACACCAGTGGGAGTGGCACAGCTGTCACCAGTAAGCGAGCGGAGCGGGGATGATGGTGCAAGGCTGACTCGTTTTTCTCGAGCCGGAAGTTTCCGGAAGTTTATTTGTAACAAATCAGAAGCGAAAGGCTAGCGATATGGTGCACAAACACGGAGGGGCAGAGCTTGGCTGATGACGTCACAAAGCATGTTTCCTCATTTTTTGTAACTAAGGGGCGGGGCTTGTTTCATGACATGACAATGCATGTTTCATTGTTTTTGGGGGGCAGATTGCCTCATGATATCACAATATGCTTAGAACTAAGGGGTGGGGCTTGCCTCAGGATGTCATAACAGGCTTCAGAACTAGGGGATGGGGCTTGCCTCATGATGTCACAACAGCCTTCAGAACTAAGGGGTGGGGCTTGCCTCATGCAGTCACAACAGCCTTCAGAACTAGGGGGTGGGGCTTGCCTCATAATGTCACAACAGCCTTCAGAACTAAGGGGTGGGGCTTGCTTCATGAGGTCACAACAGGCTTCAGAACTAAGGGGTGGGGCTTGCCTCATGATGTCACAACAGGCTTCAGTACTAAGCGGTGGGGTTTGCCTCATAATGTCACAACAGGCTTCAGAACTAAGGGGTGGGCCTTGCTTCATGAAGTCACAACAGGCTTCAGAACTAGGGGGTGGGGCTTGCCTCATAATGTCACAACAGCCTTCAGAACTAGGGGGTGGGGCTTGCCTCATGAGGTCACAACAGGCTTCAGAACTAAGGGATGGGGCTTGCCTCATGAAGTCACAACAGGATTCAGAACTAGGGGGTGGGGCTTGCCTCATTATGTCACAACAGCCTTCAGAACTAGGGGGTGGGGCTTGCCTCATGAAATCACAACAGGCTTCAGAACTAGGGGGTGGGGCTTGCCTCATGAGGTCACAACAGGCTTCAGAACTAAAGGGTGGGGCTTGCCTCATGAAGTCACAACAGCCTTCAGAACTAGGGGGTGGGGCTTGCCTCATAATGTCACAACAGCCTTCAGAACTAAGGGGTGGGGCTTGCTTCATGAGGTCACAACAGGCTTCAGAACTAGGGGGTGGGGCTTGCCTCATAATGTCAACAGCCTTCAGAACTAAGGGGTGGGGCTTGCCTCATGAAGTCACAACAGGCTTTAGAACTAAGGGGTGGGGCTTGCCTCATGAAGTCACAATAGGCTTCAGAACTAAGGGGTGGGGCTTGCCTCATGAAGTCACAACAGGCTTCAGAACTAGGGGGTGGGGCTTGCCTCATGAAGTCACAACAGGCTTCAGAACTAAGGGGTGGGGCTTGCCTCATGAAGTCACAACAGGCTTCAGAACTTGGGGTGGGGCTTGCCTCATGATGTCACAACATGCTTCATTTTTCAGAACTAAGGGGTGGAGCTTGGCTCCTGATGTCACAATGCATGTTTCCTCATTTTTCAGAACTAAGGGGTGGAGCTTGGCTCCTGATGTCACAACACATGAGTTATCATTTTGCAGAACTAAGGGGCTTTGCTCCTGGTGTCACAATGCATCTTTCCTCATTTTTCAGAATTAAGGGGCAAGGGTTCCCTCATGACATCCCAATACACATTTCATTATTTTTCAGAACTAAGGGGCGGAGCTTTGCTCCTGATGTCACAATGCATGTTCCATGGTTCAGACCTAAGGGGCGGAGCTTGCCTCATGGTATCACAATGCATGTTTCATCATTTCATTAATATCACTTTACAAGGCCTTGGTAAGGCCATGCTTGGAATCCTGCATCCAGTTTTGGTCACCACGATGTAAAAAAGATGTTGAGATTCTGGAAAGGGTGCAGAGAAGAGCAACAAAGAGGATCAGGTGACTGGAGGCTAAAACATATAAGGAACGGTTGCTGGAATTGGGTATGTCTACTTTAACGAAGAGAAGGACAAGGGGGGACATGATAGCAGCCTTCCAATATCTCAGGGGCTGCCCCAAAGAAGAGGGAGTCAAGCTCTTCTCCAAAGCACCAGAGGGAAGGACTAGAAGCAACGGATGGAAACTAATCAAGGAGAGAAGCAATCTAGAATTAAGGAGAAACTTCCTGACAGTGGGAACAATTAACCAGTGGAACAACCTGCCTCCAGAAGCGGTGAATGCTCCAACACTGGAAGTTTTTAAGAAGAGACTGGACAGCCATTTGTCTGAAATGGTATAGGGTTTCCTGCCTGAGCAGGGGGTTGGACTCGATGACCTCCAAGGTCCCTTCCAACTTTATTATTATTATTATTATTATTATTATTATTATTATTATTATTATTGGATCATCGCACAGTCAGCCAGATGTTCAGACTGGATTTGGCATTTTGTCTACCTATCGAGTCCTTACCCAGGACCTGGGATAGGCAGATGTGGATGTTTGATGGTATTACAGATATCGTCGCAGGATGGAAGCAGTTCCTAGTAAGGCCGCCTTTTGCAATTGACTAATAGCGAATTTGTCAATGCCAATGGTGTTCAAGTGGTGCTCCAGTTGTTTTGGGATTGCACCCAAGGAGCCTATGACTATTGGTACTACCCTTGCTTGCTTTTGCCACAGTCTTTCTATTTCTATTTGTAGGTCTTTGTATTTTGTTATCTTCTCCAGTTCTTTCTCTTCTATTCTGCTATCTCCAGGCACTGCCACGTCCACTATCCAGACTTTTTTGTCTTTCTTATCGACAATTGTTAAGTCTGGGGTGTTATGTTGCAGGTGCTTGTCTGTTTGAATTCTGAAGTCCCAGAGCAGTTTAATTTTATCATTTTCTATGACTTTCTCTATTTTATGATCCCACCAGTTTTTGCTTACAGGCAAATGATATTTTTTGCAGATCTTCCAATGCACCATTGTTGCTACTTTGTCATGCCGCTGCTTGTAATCAGTCTGTGCAATCTTCTTGCAACAGCTTACCAAGTGGTCCACTGTTTCTTCAGCTTCTTTGCATAGGCGGCACTTACTGTCTGTTGCTGTCTTCTCAATTTTGACTTTGTATGCATTTGTCCTTAAGGCTTGGTCTTGTGCAGCCAGAATTAGTCCCTCGGTCTCTTTCTTCAATTTTCCTGCTCTTAGCCATTGCCAGGTTTTATTATTATCTGCTTTCCCAGCTATTTTTTTCATGTATTGGCCATGTAGTGCTTTGTCTTCCCATGCCTCTATTCTGTTCTTCATTTGGTCTTTCTGTAGGCCAGTTTGGTCTCTCCAGTAGTTAGTAAGCCTTCCTGATATACTAATTTCAGTGCATCTTCATCATTGTTCTTCAGATATTCTTCCAAAGCCATTTTTTCTTCTTCAACCATCTGATGTACTTGTAGCATTCCACGCCCACCTATTTGCCTTGGTAGATAAAGTCTATCAATGTCACTGCGTGGATGAAGGGCATGATTCATTGTCATTATTTTTCTGGTCTGCCTATCCATTGCTTTTAGTTCTGCTTGAGTCCAGTCCACTATTCCAGCTGTGTACCTAATGACTGGGATTGCCCAGGTGTTGATTGCCTTTATGGTATTTCCTCCATTGAGTTTGGACTTTTAAGATCTTCTTCACTCTCTTGATGTATTCACCTCTAATCTTTTTCTTGACTTCAGTGTGCTTGATGTTGTCAGCTTGAAGAATACCCAAGTATTTGTAGTACTCTTCCTCATCCAGACTCTTAATGTTATTTTCGTGGAGCATCTTGATTCCTTCAGTTTTCACTATTTTTCCTTGTTTGATAGTAAGTGTGGCACATTTGTCCAAGCCAAACTCCATTACAATATCTTGGCTATATATACGGACAGTGTTGAGCAGCGATTCTATTTCAGATGATGTTTTTCCATACAGCTTCAGATCATCCATGTAAAGGAGGTGGGATAGTCTAGCAGATGTTTTTGATGTTTGATAGCTATGTCCTGAGTTATTCAGTATTGTTGACAGAGGAAACAGTGCAATAACAAATAGTAATGGTGATAATGAATCTCCTTGAAATATTCCTCTCTTGATATTAACCTCTCCCAGCTTCTCACCATTATTATTATTATTATTATCGATCATCGCACAGTCCGCCAGATGTTCAGACTGGATTTGGCATTTTGTCTACCTATCGAGTCCTTACCCAGGACCTGGGATAGGCAGATGTGGATGTTTGATGGTATTACAGATATCGTCGCAGGATGGAAGCAGTTCCTAATAAGGCCGCCTTTTGCAATTGACTAATAGCGAATTTGTCAATGCCAATGGTGTTCAAGTGGTGCTCCAGTTGTTTTGGGATTGCACCCAAGGAGCCTATGACTATTGGTACTACCCTTGCTTGCTTTTGCCACAGTCTTTCTATTTCTATTTGTAGGTCTTTGTATTTTGTTATCTTCTCCAGTTCTTTCTCTTCTATTCTGCTATCTCCAGGCACTGCCACGTCCACTATCCAGACTTTTTTGTCTTTCTTATCGACAATTGTTAAGTCTGGGGTGTTATGTTGCAGGTGCTTGTCTGTTTGAATTCTGAAGTCCCAGAGCAGTTTAATTTTATCATTTTCTATGACTTTCTCTATTTTATGATCCCACCAGTTTTTGCTTACAGGCAAATGATATTTTTTGCAGATCTTCCAATGCACCATTGTTGCTACTTTGTCATGCCGCTGCTTGTAATCAGTCTGTGCAATCTTCTTGCAACAGCTTACCAAGTGGTCCACTGTTTCTTCAGCTTCTTTGCATAGGCGGCACTTACTGTCTGTTGCTGTCTTCTCAATTTTGACTTTGTATGCATTTGTCCTTAAGGCTTGGTCTTGTGCAGCCAGAATTAGTCCCTCGGTCTCTTTCTTCAATTTTCCTGCTCTTAGCCATTGCCAGGTTTTATTATTATCTGCTTTCCCAGCTATTTTTTTCATGTATTGGCCATGTAGTGCTTTGTCTTCCCATGCCTCTATTCTGTTCTTCATTTGGTCTTTCTTGTAGGCCAGTTTGGTCTCTCCAGTAGTTAGTAAGCCTTCCTGATATACTAATTTCAGTGCATCTTCATCATTGTTCTTCAGATATTCTTCCAAAGCCATTTTTTCTT